CTGCCTGCGTCGTGGCATCCCTCCTGGCTGTCCTGGGGGCTGGGGTGCATACACAGCGGTAGCAGCGTCTGATTTGGCCCCACACAGCAAGCTGGAGGTTGATAAATAATCTCGTTCATGGGGCCCCCATCTTTGGCTGGCTGTCCCTGTCGCCCCACACGGTGCTGAAGGTCTCGGGAGGTGGTGGGGGTGACCGAGACCTGGCTTACGGCCGCTGCGAGGGTGCTGGTGTCTCCCCGGCAGGTGGTTCTGGGGCTGCCCTTCCTGCTGGTCAACCCTGTGGGGTACCTGACTCGATCCTTCGACCTGGGCCGCCAGTTCCAGTTCAAATGGACGGTGAACTGGCGCTTCCTCCCAGAAGAGGTTTTCCAGAATCGGGCTTTCCACGCCATGCTGCTCCTGGCTCACCTGGCTGGCCTGGGGCTCTTTGCGCTGCACCGGTGGCACGGGTGAGACCCGGGGGTCCCCACGGGTGCTGGTCCCCATCAGCCCCCGCGGGGCGGGATATGGGTCCGTGACTCCCCTGTCCCCACAGCGCTGCAGTTGTGGGGTTCCAGGCAGGAGCAGGGGCGAGTTACTGTTCCAGTTTTGGGGAGCGTGCTGCCCAGGCATTCTGGCTCACAGGGGAAGGTCGGGGTGGGAGAGGCTTTGAGCAGCCAAGATTGACATCTGTGCTTCCCTCTCAGGTCCAAAGAGAGCATCCTGGCTCTGCTGAAGGATCCTGCCGAGAGGAAACACCCGTCCCCTCCCTTGACCGTCAACAATATCCTTTGGCAGGGTGGGCAGCAAGGGGAGGGGGCAGAAGGCAGGGCAGGGCAGACCCTGGGCTCGGCCTTTGCAGGCTCCCGGTCCTGCGGTGCTGTCAGGACTGGGCTGTCCTGGGGACAGGAGCTGTGCTGTGCGGCTGGGGAGCTGCTGTGGGATCGCACCTCCGGCTTCCTGCGTTTGTCCCCTTAATGCCGGTGCACAGATCCTTTTTGTTCTCTTCTCCTCCAACTTCCTGGGCATCTGCTGCAGCCGCTCCCTGCACTACCAGTTCTACGTCTGGTATTTCCACACGCTGCCCTACTTACTCTGGTGCACCCCCACCGCCAAGCTCGCCCACATGCCCAAGTACCTGCCGCCGGGGAGGGGGACCGCCCATCTGCTGGGGGGTCTGGGAGCGAGGGGACTGGTGTGTGTGTCCCCCACGATGCTGACCCCCAGCTTCCCCCCCCTCCAGGGTGCTGCTGCTGGGCGTGATCGAGCTCTGCTGGAACACCTACCCCTCCACGGTCTGCAGCTCCCTCTCCCTCCACATCTGCCACGGACTCGTCCTGCTCCAGCTCTGGTACGGCACGGCCCCCCCACCGGCACTGCACCCCCCCCAGCCGACTCCCGCAGCCCCGCTCTGAAAACGCAGCCGTCCCC